TTTATGCATTCAATAATGTTCTTCCTTCTCTATTTTTCTGGATTTTGCCTCGAAGCGTATTTTATCCGAAATTAATATTTCTATTTCAGCTTTTTAAAAATGCATGCTTTTCCATCCTTTGATTTTTTTTCTTTTTTTAGTCTAATCTTTGTGTCTGTGGTCTGTCTGGTGTATACCACCAGATGGGTCTGTTTTCTCACTGATTGTACTACCCTGTGTCTCTTGACTGGTGTGTTTGATTCATTTACATTCAGTGTCATTGTGAATAGGTATAAATGTGCTGCTGGGGTTTTTTCCTCGTGCTGAGTTCATTGTAGATTAGTCTGTCATTTTCTGTCATCTCTGTTGTTTTATTGCATCCTGCAATTTTATTGTTTTTCTCATTTTTAATTTGATGAGGTTTATTCATTTTCTTTGAGATTTCCCTCTGTTAACTCCTTTCCAAGTTTAAAAGTCTGTTCTGTCTTGAAACATATGTGGTCTTCCCTAAGTTTGAAAGTTCTTTAACAATATTATTCCATCGATTAACATTGTAATTGTCTTGGTTACTATTTGATATCTCTGGTTCCCTATTTTCAGTCTTGTAGATTCCTTTACTTGTCAACTTCTCTAGCTGGGTGATGTCTGGGTTGTGTTGTCTACGGTGGTTGGTTCTTTGTGAAGGGAATGCCCTTAGTTTCATCTGGGGGATCATTTTTGTGGGTACATGATTCCTGGAGAGCAATTTTTTCTTTGAAATTTGACATCTATTATCCCATTGCCTTCTGCCTACACGGTTTCTGTTGAGAAATCAGAGCTAAGTCTTCCTGGTTCCTTTGTGTAGTTAACTTTTTCATCTTTCCCCACGATGCTCTCAGGATTACCTTGTTTGGGGTTTTGGAAAGTGTCATGGTGGTTTTCCTGTGGTGTCTATCCTTGAAATGCATGTTCCGCTTCTTGAGCACGTATCATTTCTTTCATGATGTTAAACAACTCCTCTGTGCCCTTTGTTATTTCTTCCTGTTCTGGAATTCGAATCACACCTGAAGTTGTTCCTTTCTGCGGTCTCATAATTCTTAGATTTTCTGTCCTTTGTCTCTTAGCAGTTCATCTCTGTAGGCGTCAGTATTCCCTAGCTGCCCCACAGAAGAAAGAGGAGGCTGGCTACTCCTGTAGAGATTTGAAAGGATTGGAAACCCAAAGGGCAGTTTTGTTGTTCTGTATTGTTGCTATGAGTCAAAATTCACCCAATGGCAGTGAGTTTAGGTTTGGGGGATAGCAATGTGGAGGGCAGTTTTGTCTGGTGTGGTCACTTGTTTCTAACTCTCTTCCAGTAGGTGTGGCCACAGGAGGTACAGAGGAGGTGGAGCCATGTGGGCATGGTGGCTGTCTCACAAGGGGTGGAACAAGGAAAGGGGGGAAAAAAAGTTTCGGCCCCCCCCCCCCCCCAGTAATGTAAGTGTCCTTTGAGAAATAAAGAAGCCTGGGAAAGCTGGTAAACAACAGAAAGAAAACGTAGTAACTAGGGGGAGTGTGGCACTGTTGGAAGTTGTTCCCAAATGTGATAGGTTTTCTGTGCCAACATGGCTCCCATACGAACCTGTGGGCTGAGTTTAGCCTGTCAATCAGGTTGCAGCTTAATTGGAGGGCAACCAAGATCAAATGGCTTTCCAAGGCCAACTTCCTTATCTCTTATCTCTGGAAGCAGACCACACTCTCTCTCCTTTCACCTGCCTGTTGACAAGCCACATGGAGCCACGCTGAGACTTGCTTCCATTGCTGCCACTGGATCCACAAGATGTTGCACCCACTGCTATGATCTTCCTGCATTTTGCATCACTGCATGTACTCCATGAGTCTTTAGAGGGATATATGGACTAGTATCACACTTACTGGCTAATTGACAGTCTGGACCAGGCTGGGATTTTTTTCCTGACATATAACTACTTCTTGATATAAAACTCTCTCTCGCACATTTATGAGTGTCACTGAATTTGTGTCTCTAGTCTACCCAGCTTAGCATACCAACTATATGGGGGTGGCTAGGGACCTGATGCTGTGTGTTCTGCTGGTTTGATGAGGCCGGGTTCAAGCACCTGCAGACTGGAAGGTGCAAACGCTGGCGCCCAAGCCACTAATTTCCAACTTCAGGCAGCACAGCGGCTGTTGGGAACCGGGAGCTGGGAATGGAAGGGCACCAGCCATTGGTGGGTGAGGCAAAAGTCTGACTACATTTATGGTTAGCAAGAGATTGCAGAAAATAAAGATCTCACCTCTGTTGCTGGCCCCTGGTGCTCAGACAACTGCCTGGATGGACTAATGCTTACCCAAATTGAAGGTGGTTGTGCTGTGTTTGACCCGCCAATAACTCACTCACCTTTCTTCTTTCTGACCACTTATATTTGGCTTCTAGTTGGTATTTAATCCATTTTTCTATCCGTTTCTCCAAAGCTCAGGGTTCCAGGATTATCCCTCCTCTCTTCCAGTAGGTCTCTGGTCTCTACATGTACAGAGTCCATGTAACTTCTTTGCCTAGTTTGGTATCTTGCTCTGGAAGTCCTTCTACTGTAAGCCCAGAAAAATGTCACCTTTTTATTGAGCTCTTGGCAATTCCCTTTAGCGATCCTTATTTGGGGTGTCATGAACCCCAACGTGAGAGCCAACACCCAGCCATAGGTCTGCTCTGGGTGATTCTTGAAGATAAATTGTCTCCTAATGATGCGGACGACTCAGCAGAGGGTGGCTCTGTGGATACCTTTCCCTTTGCTCGCTCAGTTTCTCCTGTAGCCTCATGCCATGGCCAGGAATTTATCTGTAAAACCAACTCAAAAGGTAATGGGGAACACCGATTATGGGGTATGATACCATGAATACATGCTTGCACAGAAATGGGCTTTATTTTTCCACGAGCACATATGTAAACATATAGAACGCGGCATTGAAGGAGGCATCGCTAACAGCAGTGCGTACCTCAAGGGACAGGCTGGGAGGGGTGGCGGTCAAGTGTATTTTCACCATATCTGATCGAATTATTGATAGGGAGAATATGTACTCTGTTTTGGGGAGTTTTCAAATTCAGGTTAAAAAAAAAGCTAGTTGAAGCAGAAATGTCAAGTAGCGGTAGTGTTTTAAGTATGAATGATTAATTATACAACGAGTGAAAGTTAACTTCTTAAAATAGCCATGTACGGAACACTAAGTCTGTGGGAAATCTATATACATAGACAGCACCCTACACATGGTCCTTCAAAATCAAACAGTTGCTCCCCTAGGCCCCAACCCTCCCCTCCAGACATGTCACCTTTCAGGACTTTGTAAGAATGTTAGAAAATTGGTGCAAAGTACTCCTCTCTCTCCCACCTCGAAGCGTTAGGCAGTTCAATTCTTGACTGTGTCCACGGCATCCAGGGCAGCGATTCTCAGGGGTGGGTGGGGATGTGAAGTAAAAGGACCTCTACCCACCGCACCTGCCAGCCTCGCCCGAAAAACCATTTGATTCTAGGCCTGAGTTTTAATACAGAATGTCATCCATCCAAAAAATAAAACAGCTCTTCTTTACACACATGGAAAGCTATTTTTGAGATTGACTTCGTCATAAATTAGCACAGACTTGACAATGTGGAGTCTGGACAGTGAGATCAAAGTCTTGCTCCTCCACTTTCTAGTTGTGCGACCTTGGCTAGATTACTGAACCTCTCTGGCTGACCCTTAGGCTTCCCATCAAGAACATGGGGGAGATCACAGTGACTTCGCTCGTTGGGGTTGTCCTAGAAGGAAAGGAGCTATTATTCTCGAGCCCCTAGAACAACAGGAGGCATCTAGGGAAGCACTTAAGTTTGCTGTTTTTGCCATCAAGTTGGTACTGACTTTCTGTGTAATGGAACCAAGCGTTGCCTGGTCCAGTGGTATCTTGGTTGTTGGTCTGTTTACATCCATATGAAGGCGAGCTGAGCTACTACTTGAGCTTTAAGAAACCAAAGGACAATCCAAGACACCCTGATGTGTGATAGGGAGTCCTTAGGTGGCACAAAGGGTTAAGCGCTGGACAACTAAACAAAAGGTTGCCTCTTTGAAGCCACCTACATGTACCTTAGCAGGAGCCCTGGTCGTATAGTGGCTATGTGATGGTCAGCAGTCCTAAACCACGAGCAGCTCTTCCAGAGAGAGACTGAACTTTCTACTCTTGTAAACAGTCTTGGAAACCCACAAGGGGCCGCTGTGAGGCAGCAAGGACTCGATGCAGTGAGGTTTGGGGGTTGGTTTTGAGAAGTATCTTGGAGGAGATCGATGGCAATTTGTTTACAAAAGTCACAGCCGAAAAGGCTATGGCGCGAGAGCTACACTGCCTCAAGCAGATGCCGAACCAGAGACTGGCTTTTAATGTGGTGACTGTGCTGCGGTTTACATGGAAGGAGTTATTAGTTTTGAAAAATGCTATCGTGCACTCCCAGGCTTCCTTTTTTATCACCAAGCCCCTGTTGTCCAACTATTGATCATCTTCCTTTGGTTGCCGTGGCTTTCAGATTCCATCTGTCAGTAATTATCAATGGATCTTGATTGCAAGTTTGATCCATTGTAGACTGAAGGTGATAGAATACCTTGTAAGACTTATTAATAACCCTGGATAGGCACATTACACATCCTTGCTTGTTGAAAGTGAAGAGGGCTTGAAACACTGATAAAGAACAAAGATTGCTGACTTCAGTCTAGATTAAAACTCATGTAAAGAAAACAAAAATACAACTGGACCATAGACAACATCATGCTAAACCAAGAACAGATTGAAGTTGCCAAATGAAATCCATCATTCTGGGCGCTGCAGTCAAGAAATCAAATGACATGGCATTGAGGTCTTGTTGCACAAGGCTTCTTTCAAGTGTTAAAGAGCAAAGAGGTTACTTTAAGGCAGCAGTTCTCAACCTGGGGGTCAAAGGACCCTTTCACAAGGGTGGCTCGATTCATAACAGTAGCCAGTAGCAATGAAAATAATGTTATGGTGTGGGGTCACCACAACAGGAGGAACTGTGTTAAAGGGCCGTGGCATTCAGAAGGCTGAGAACCACTGCTTTAAGGGCTAAGATGCATCTGGCAGAACCTAGCCATTGTTTCTCACACATGCTATGCATGTGAAAGCGGGCAGTGCATAAGGATGAGTGAAGAGCTGATGCACTGCAGGGTGGTGTTGATCAAGAATATCGGACGTGCTATGGAATGCCAGAACAAACAGCTCTGTCTTGAAAGAAGTACAGTCAGACTGTGTCTTAGAAGCAGGGATGAGGAGCTTTCGTGTCATGGACTTTGGACAGCTCATACAGAGAGAACAAAGACTCTGGATAAGGAGGGACAGCATGCTTAGTAAACGAGAGGGGCGGTGCATAGAAGGAAGACACGCTAGGAGAGAGAGGAGCTGCAACAGTGAGCTCAAATATAACCAATTGCTGATAGAGAAGAACAGGGCCCCTATGAAGTGAAACTGTCTCCCTGGAGCCCCACAATGTGCTACCATTTGGACCTCAGAGTTTGCTCTATGAGTGGTGGAGTGGTGTTTAAACAGCCCTCCAGTCTTATACGTGTGCGCAAATAGTGAGGGGCATTGGTGGCTTTGCAATGACAACTGACAAATAGTTGTGAGTCTAAGAGACACACACTTCAGGCTTTTTCCGTGGGGGGTGGAAGGGGTGACAAAAAATACTGGACATACTGCCAATCAAGACTACTTCAGAAGGTACCTGATAAGCCTAGTAAAATTAATAACTGTGATGCTCCCTGGCATTAATAGTCCCGCTCTCAAGGAAATATACTTGATTATAAAAAGCTCTGGGGTCTAGTACATAGTCTCAACTTTGGCTTAAGAGACTTTGATTTTTAACAGTGTATGGTAAATTACTTGATATGGCCAATCTAGCCCACTAAAGGACTAGGCAGGACTATGGCAATGTGAGGTGCTTGTGGCCCGTCACCAGGATTGGATCATGCAAACAAAGTCTGTGGAACCCTGATCGAGTGTGATCACTTTGGCTATAGCAGATGAAAGGGAGCCTCCCCCCCTCATCAAGGAAGCAACAGAACAAGAAAGCCGAGTGCCTTTACGCAAGAGGCTTGCTGGTAGCGTTGGGTATATCTGGCCACTTATTCAGCAGAGTTAAAAGAGTTTTGTAACTCTTGCTAGAGTATGGCAGAGGCCAAAGGAACACAGGGCTACAAGGCTGTGCTGATGGAAGAACTGTATCTGAGTGTTTTCTGATCCTTAATCGCAACTCGTTATAGCTCCTAAGAATCCCCATAACCATGAGTTCTATGTAGCCATAGCAACAAGTTGCCAAACCATGTAGAGTACTACGGGAGGAATAGTTTGTAATAAGGTTGGAGGGTGTTGTGTCTGACCTTTCAGGAAGCGGTCAGCAGTTCTAAACCACCAGCCGCTCTGCAGAAGAAAGACCAGAGTTTCTACTCCTGTAAAGAGTTTGTCTAAGAAGCCCACAGGGACAGGTCTACCCCGTCTTAGAGGGTCACTAGGAGCCAGACTCGCCAGATGAGGACTGCCCCCTTAACCATACATGTTGTTTTTCAGAAGGCTTCTGGACACAGCGGAGCGCACCTCCCTGTCTCCCCACTTAGGGTGGGTAAGAAGAGCTGTGCGCTGGAGGCCAACTCGGTGCAGCTCACGCTAACCGCGCTGCTTTGGGTGTGTTGCAGGAATCCTGTACCGCAAGTCCTGCGCGTCATCCGCAGCCTGCCTCATCGCCTCGGCCGGGTACCAGTCCTTCTGCTCCCCAGGGAAGCTGAACTCCGTGTGCATCAGCTGCTGCAACACGCCGCTCTGCAACGGGCCCCGGCCCAAGAAAAGGGGCAATTCGGCCACAGCCCTGAGCCCGGCGCTCCCCACCATGGCCCTGCTCCTCAAACTAGCCCACCTCTTGGCACGCTGCTGAAGGAGCCCCCGGCTGCGCCTGTGTTGCTCTCCTGCGGCCCCCTCCTTCTTCTGGGGTCCCTGCCTTCTGGGTAAGGGGGGCTAGTCCATGTCCTCTTTTTTTGGTGGTGTTCCCTTGCAAATAACGAAAGAGCTCGGGGTCAAACATTTTTGTCAGCTCGGAATCAATTCCCTCTGGCTGAATTTTCAGTGTGTGCTTGAAGGACGGGGTCGCAGTTGAAGCCCCCCCTGCACGCCGAGGCATCCGAGCCCAGGCTGAAATCCGCTCTCAGAAGACACCTGCCTTGGCCTTGACCCCTGCTTCTGACCCAGCTGGGGCGCACTGGGGCTCGTTGATGCAGGGCTCCCGGGGACCGCGCTCCGCGGGACAATCGGCGTCCGCGCCCATGTCCGAGTTTGGCTCTGCTGAAGCGAGGCTCACCTGTGCGGGCTCGTGGCCAGCCGGCTCGGCACCCTGGAAAGTGCTTAAGAACACCTTGGTGGGGGGCTTCCTTGCGGACGAGTGTCGCCAGGAGGCGCGGAAGATCAGGCGGCGGGAGGAGCGGGTGCTGTCCAGCGGGGCGCGCAGCCACTTGTCGCGGTTGGCGTGCTGCAGCGTCAGGCGACAGCACAGCACCTGCCAGAAGACGCTGCGGAACTGCTGCGAGGACACGTTGTACAGCAGCGGGTTGACCACGGAGCTGAGGTAGAAGAAGGTGTCCGAGAAGGGCAGCAGGATCATGTACGCGCGGAAGTAGGCCCTGGTCCAGTCGTGCTTGGGTTTAGCAGCAGCCAGGATCCTGCGAATCTGGTTTGGCATCCAGCACACGGCTAATGTCACCACGATCAGCCCTGAGCAGGGAGGGGGGTGGGGGGGGGGGGGAGGAAAAGAGAAAGGACATGACATGAGATCTAAAGGGAGTGGGGGAACCCCAAACCGCTTAGCCCCTCTGTTCTGTGCTTACCGGCCAGGAAATGGTACCAATTTCTCAATGTGCTTGACAGCTGCTTTGCCACTAGCCAAAAAACTATTTTAACCCTCTTCAAGGCTGGGGGAATTGGCTGTATGAAAGACCATTAAATGCTTTTGACAGTTCACTTCCACCTGTGGATGCCTGTTAATTTCAAACATGGTTTCTCATTGATGTTTGTTTAGCGAGGAAGCATTTCATGTGGTCCACAAACCAGGTAGCCACTTTAAGGAGTGCATTCTAAATAATGGCCACATTGCTGTTTTCAAGTCACAGGCCTTCAGTGGTGACGAAGTGCATCTGATTACCAAGGACACTTCATTCGGTTTCAAGGAAAGCAAGATCGGCCTGGCCTATGGCAGAGATTGCTCTTTGGACATAACGGGCAGGGATACATGTATGTATAGTGTGTGCATCTGCAGTGGCACCTGTTTCTATCTATATCATCGCTCCCACCCTGTGGGGAACAAAACAACAATTATCCCAAAGCAACTGACAATGTAAGATTTCCTTCAACTTGGCCCTAGGTGTCTGCCGGTAAAGTGCTTATTGTCGTTCCAGAACAGGGCCAGCTTGGGAGGTGAGCCTCGTGCTTGCTAGACTTCTGCTCCATGGCTAGAAAAAGCAATGATGTTGGGTCAAGCAGGGCGTTAGTGTAAACAAGGGAGCCCCTCCACAGTCTGGGCTGGCATGATGGCTGCAATGCAGGCTTCGTGCTAACGTTTGTGAAGATGGTACAAACTGAGCAATGGGCTCTTCTGTCTCAGAGATGGACAAACCCGACTTTTTGAAAAACTAAAACGAATAGTTATAAAAGTAGCACCTCATCCAAGATGGCAGACCCAGAAGAAGCCGCCAGGCCGGTGGGGGTTCGGCTCTCGCCGTAGATGGGCGACCTCCACGAGCAGAGCAGGATCACCAGCGGCTAACAGCAAGACGAGACCCTTCTGTGCTCTCCCCTTGCGCATCAGGAGTGTACTGCATCTATCTATGCTCATCTGTATCGCAATACATAAGATCATCACTACTAGGACACTTAGAGAGGTGGGGGGTGTTAGGTGGGCCACACCAACAGCTGACCCCACAGTGGGAAGATGAGAGGCCTGCCCAGCATTGCTCTCTCCTGTTAGGCACCCTGGTGACACAGTAGGTCAGGAGTTGGGTCACTAACCTCAAGATTAGCAGTTCAAATCCACCGGTGGGAGAAAGGCAGCGTGCCCACTCAACAGAGTGGCTTTGAGTTGGAAGCGACCCCGGGTTGTGGGGTTGGTTATTGGGTTTGATTAGGGGAGCAAGATGCATAAACGCTAGTTTCCCTTTGAAGAGATGTTATCTCCAAAAGGGGCTTTGGATTTGTAGCAAGTTCTTCCCACCACCAGACTGGAGCGAGACACGATCAGGAAAGTTCATCCGCATTTCCAAACCTTCTGATTGGCCCAGATGCCACAGGGAAGCGGTGGTTGGCCCAGATGCCACAGGGAAGCGGTGGTTGGCAGTGATCTCTTCCTGTCCACAGTCATTATGTCACTAATAGAAAACGCTTCAGTGTGCTCGCGCTCACCGGAGCCTTCCTCCTTCCTGGGAAGGGGACCCTTGGGGGTAGGGGTGGGGCTGCTGCCCTGCAAGAAGCCAGCTCCCTAGAGAACAAACCCCAGTTGTTGGCAAGAACGCCTTCAGCCACGCTGCACCCGTGGCTGCGAGGTCACCCCAGCATGCTCACTGCTTTGCACTGCG